TGTGTGTGTGGGGCTGCAGGGATTTTGTAGAAGGGGTAGGGGGTTTTGTATTGGGACAGGAGTCTTTATAAGGGGGGATAAGCAGGGGATTTGTGGAAGGGGATTGCGGGGGTTTTGTAGATGGGGCAGTACAGGATTTGTAGAAGGGCAGGACAGAGGTTTTGTAGGAGGGGCAGGGCAGGACAAGGGTTTTGTAGGAGGGGCTGACAGCGGTTTTGCAAAGTTTACAAATTGTAAAAATAAAAGAAATAAAACCTTTAAAATTTTTTACAGGTTTTTTTTTTGGGAGGGGGGTGGGGGGGGGGGGGGCCAAGCACAGGATCCGCCCCGGGTGCCAAATGCTCTAGGTACGCCCATGATACCATGTGAGTCTCCCATTAAAGGGAATTTGATATTAAATATGCAACTTTAGCTATTTTAAAAGAAAATTATATCTATATATTATTCTAGCAGTTTTATCATTTCTCTTTCAATTCCTCTGCAGACACTGAATGCCGAGTAATTGAGAGACAGGGGGAGCAGAAGAGACCTCCCACAGGATACACCTATTCTTCACCCACAACAACTATGTTAACTCCCTAGCTGGTGTTCCTAGTGCAGGCTAGGGAGTATAGGAATAGAGTGATGTGACGTCATTCTGGTCAGGCCCCGGCACACTGGCAACAAAGTCAGAGTGTCGGCATCATGGTGGAGGTTTGCCCTGTCTGGGGAAGTGTCCCCAAGCAGGGAAAATTGGCAAAGAACAGAGGAGGAATGCGGGAAGACCAGAGATTGGTGTCAACCTGTTTAATGAGATGGAAGCGGGTCAGCACAGAGCCAGGTAAGCCTTGCCAATTTCCCTTTAATGGCAGTTCTCTGAACCATTACATCCAGTCTTGGGTATCCTGGGGAAAATGTATACAATTCTGACCATTCTCTCAGCAGGGCTATAATCACAACAAAGGAACAACCTTCCTAGGAAGGGAAAAGTACCCTTTCTATAGACTCCGGATAGCCGGAAAAGGATGGACAACAGGTCACGATCCCAAGCCATGTACCAGACACCTCCATTTCTACTACTGTGTATTCATATATTTAGTCATGATATGAATTGAGTTGCCATATTAGTCCAGAAATATAGATGGAAAATAATGAGGTATTGCAGTTTAATGGATTAGTAATAAGAAACTCACGAAATAAGGAACTCACCTCATTATTTTGCATCTACAAAGATTTACACAGGTATCTACGAAGTCAGCAGCTCTGGATAAATCACGTAAAGCCTGCAAGCTTAGAATCAAAACTATATTTTCATATTAACCAGAATATATATTTTCAGATAGTAAAACCTCTTTTAAAAAAAGATAATTTTACGTAGGATTCTCCGTTTCTTTTTTAGAACATCAAAGGGTCAAACATGAAAAGCAGCCAGGAAGCCCTTTGTCAGTATGGCAATTATATGAGATGTGTGTATCTGTGAGCAGCGGAGGAGCGAGATGTAGAGAATATCATAACCTCCTTCAGCTTAACATGAAGAGGGCTCCTTATTATGAGCCTGTGTCACATTAATCCATTATATAAAGAGGATAGGAAAGGTAATGCTGTGTAAGACATATTTTTATGGTGCAGCACTGAGCTATTTATGTGCCTGAGCTCTCTTTGTATTATAAAATATCTCTCGACCTCCTGGAGTTAGCCTGCAGAGATTAATAATCACGTGAAATGCCAATTTTCCAGGTATTTAGAGTTCAAATACCTCATGAATATCCTAGGAACACATATGTAGAAGGAGTTGAGTTTGTAATTTAAA